GGGGCGACAACTGTACAGTAAGCACAATTTGCGGCGATCCTCCTCCTCCGGCGCATGATTCATTTATTTCGGTGCGTTCGATTTCAAGCCAAAACATATGCGTCATGTAGCGCATGCGAGATACGAGGGTATATGCATGCACATACATATATATTTCCATATTTATGCGCTCATATTTTGTAATTGCAATTAATGCAATCTCTGCCCCATATGACAGTTGCACATGCCGCAGCTCCGATTGCATTGCTCAGAACGTTGCGGACTCATTTTAATATGGGTATTTGTCAGTCAAGCACTTGTGGGAATAAGTTTCTCTCTTTTTGCAAAACAAAAATGATTGAACGCCCATGTTTACAGCTAATGGGAACGAGTGGTTCGAGTAGGATCAAGAGATCTCTAAGGCCAATTCAGAACCGGAGGAAAAGTAGTTTCCGAAATATGTTGAATCGGATAAGATCAAGTCTTGTTAAAGTGATTGAATCTCTGCTTTAACTAGGCCATATCAAATCATGTTCAGTTAAATTCTATCCGGATATAGTCTAAATTAATTTAAATTATGCAAAACAAAATAAGGCAACAAGTTCCAGCGGAAATTGAGATATGCCAAAATGGTTAAAGTTATGATATAAGCACCTACATGGTTTAGTTAAAGTTATCAATAGATTACAATATCTATTGTAGACTTGTGCAATACGCTTTGTTTTCAAAAAGATATTAATATATGGCCAGCAGTTGTGGAAAATTGGGTTAATTATATATTCAAGTATTTATGAATGAGATTAAATACATATGATATAATACCATATGCTGCAAGGGATGGAAGTGACTTACAATTAGTTTGATAGCCTATCACGTGAGGGATTGATAAGCGGCAAGCCTGATTGACAGTTTGGCTAACCGCTGTGACGTCACAAGTTCAACCTTTACCCATTGCCATTCCCAACGGCAGCCAGCCTCAATCGTGACGTAGCCAAATGCCGGCCATTCAAAATAAAATCAAAGTACAACGGCAAAAATGCCATTGCCGGCAAACACCGCAGCCGCAGCCGCCGCCGCCGCCAACGCCGGTTGATTCCGTCACAGAAATTCCGGCGTATTCAACCGCGCCGGTTAAAGTACAAGCAACGCGAACGTTGTCGCTGCCGTCGCTCTGGCTCTGGGCCTTAGCTCTGCTCGGCGTTGATTGTGCATGAGTAAATGGCCTGGCCGTTGGGGCATGGGTGTTGAATGACAATCGCAGAGGCGCACTCACACTCCGAGCGAATCATATTCAATTGAATCACAAGTATCAATCAACGCCCGTCGAGCTCGGCTTTGAAGAGCAGCAACAAATTCGTGAAAAAACAAAATGGCTAGACTATTAATACCCTATACGCAGGTCTAAGCAGCGCTACAAATGGCAAATATGTGCTATGACTTCGTTTCTATTTCCTGATAATGCATCCTGAACTAACCGAACATCTTCATCAGATATTCGATATATAACAATGGGGCTAGAAATCAAATTTAATTTCAGCTGCTTTTTTTGTAAGAGAACCTTTAGATCACTAAAACTGATCTCTGAATCTAAAAATACTTTATTAGAGACTTTCATTAACATACAAAAAGAGTTTTAAACCAAATCAACCCTCTGTACAATAATTCAAATAATTCAATAATAATTCAAAATAGCTAATATCTCAGTTCTCCAAGATCTGCGTGAATAACCTTTAAAGAAATTTTAAGAATTCCCAATTGGAAATTATTATAAAAAAACGATATTGTCAAATATTCCCTAAATCTTTATGGTGTCTAAACGGTTAAATTATAAAACTCTGAAAAATGTAAATACACATATCACATTTATAGTATCTGGGTCTTAAGATCTCTGGGATAGATTGCTTGAAGCAGCGTCTTTTGATGCTGATATATACTGCGAATATCTGATATTAAATATCGTGTCAAGTTTTCTATCTGCTGCTTCTGCATTTGTACAGCATCTATTATACCCATCATTTTGCAACTTTACTGGGTATACGAAATACCGAACAAGGTATTGCACTCGTACATCTGATCGAATGGCCGAACAACCGGCGAATTCCTTAGTCTTTGTAGAAAATAAAACAAAACTTGGCGAAGCTAAGCAGCGACCGGCACCAGAGGCAGCCTATCAAAGCGAATCATTAATCTAGGTACAATTTTTGTTGTCCGACTGCCAGACACAGTCGTGCCCATCCCAGCCTGGAGCTGTGCCTGTTTCGCATCCAGACTTTTCTTTTTGCTTCATAAATACGTACATATGTATATGCATATATATATATGGCCCGTAACTGATAACCGAGCGCCTTTGACAGCTCAGCTTGGCTGACTACACCAACTATTATCAACAAGCAGAGCGACCTATAATATACATATATATACAAATACATATGTATATGTGTATTTAGTATAAGTGTCTACTTGTAGTCACCGCTGCCGCCAGTCGCTACTGAACTCCGGGATTCAGATACTGATAAGAAGCGAGGCAGTCGACGCTGTCGCCGCGCTCTGCGATATGATTGTTTGCCAAGCTGAAAGTGAGCTGATCAACAAATATGAGGCCCCTATGATGAGTGTTCCTATAAGAACTAGAGAATAGTCGAACAGCACATACCCTAACGAAAACAAATAAAGGTGTCGCATTACATAATATTTTTGTTAGCTTTGTTTTAACAAGTGGTAAAGACCTTATGGTAGGTTAGGTTGCTTTGCTGCCATTCAAATAATCGCATACCAGGTGAATACCAACTGAATATTAAGTCAACTGAATTTATAAAAACCCACGATCAACTATTTATATTATTTAAGGATATGAACATTTTATTTAAATATTAATTTGAATTTATAAAATTAAAGCTTAAAATAATAATTGTAGTTGTATGAAAAAATGGCTTCAAATCATTTGACAATTTCATCTAGCCGCAAGTTAGGGTATTCAGGCGTGACTAACTGAATCGCACAGCAACTCTCTTTCTCTTTCTCGGTCTCTCTCCCTTTCCATGCTTCTCTTTAATCCTCAATCTCCATTTGGGGTCTTATGCACGACTTCAAAATGTACACAGAGCAAATTTGCGCCGTCTTATCAAAATGATTTAAGCTTTGTATTATTTTGAAATTCTTTAAATGGAAAGTGTATTATTTTTAACGTTTACCCATGTCAGGAGTTTAGTCATATTTATATGCATAGTCATGGGAGGCTCGACTGGAACGGGTCTCGAATTTAGCAAAAAAAAATAAGTTTTGAAGATGTAAAAGATTTTGCATAATATATTTGTTTGTCTATACTTTTGCATACATACTAATAAAATATATTAAAGTATTTATGGGACCCTGAGTACAATATCTTAGACTGCAAAAATTCAGTAGTCAAACTTTTAGCCCAGTTTCATGTTATTTGGTAAAACCTAAAACCCAACAATCTTTATTAATTTGTACTTAGACTTTGAATAAAAAAGATTCCATATTGTTAGAAAATACTAAGAAAAAATTAACCAATTAACTATACAACAAACAAAATCATTTAAAAAAAAAAAAGTCTGAAAACGACTTTTTTAATTTCTGGATAATTCTTATTTCGAATAGTTGTAATTTCTAAGGGAGCACTTTACCACATTTTTTATTAATTTTAATGGTCATGCGTAGAAAAACATTCAAAATCAAAATATATTCAAAAAATCCGATATGATAATTCGCGAATCACAATAAGATAAAGCTCTGCTTTCTCCTTCAATTCGTAGAACACACCCAAAGTTTTTTTTTTCGCCAAAATGCGTAGGTAAATCTGAAGTACAGTCGCGATAATCGCGCTGCAAATATAAAAAAAAATATAAATAAATAAAAACAAAGTGCCTCAAATGATTGTATGCTATTCATGTTGTTGTTTATGTGCGACACTTTATATGTACATGTGTATGACAGCCATTAAACAATTAGAACTGTGTGTATGTATATAATATATATATATATATATACATTTATATATATATACATTTATATAGTAGCAAAAGATTGATAAGAGGCTAGCGCAGAAAGCAGAGTAAGTCGACTGCGCATGCCTCATTGGCAATCGGTTGGCTGGCACGAGAACAAGGCGATCCGAGCCGAGCCGACCTGTAATCGGCGTAAATTGTTAACAATTTTGCTAAGGCAACAGTAACAGCGACGACAACAACAACAACAACAACAACAACAACAATGGCTATAATATTTAATAAACTTTATGTGCTTGCTGTGCGGCTCGGACAGAGCCAAACGAACGGCGATCGGCACCGGCACTGGCACCGGCAACAGCGGCTGCTGCTGTTGTCGCTGACGTTGACGTTAACGTTGACAGCGACGCTGACTGATCGACTGCGACGTCGACGGCTGCGTCGTTGTCGTTGCTGAGTCGCCGCCCGACGTTGACTTCTATATCTACAACAAATAATATTAAGACAGTTAGTACGTGCTGAGAACATTATTTGAGGTTTAGTCAGTGTTTCGCACTGGGCGGTTATAATACATAGAGCACCGAGAGACTACCCGGTATTAGACCGAAAGAAAGCGCCGTGTTGTGCCGGTCGGGATCGAGCGAACTCACAGAATATACATATATATATATATACATATGTTTGGCAGGTTGCCTAGCCAGCCTATAAGAAATACCGATTAGCATAAAGTCAACGCAAAGGACTGTGATAAGCAAATAGAATAATATTAAAAAGAACACAAAACCCTAATTGATTTGCATTGCATATGTGGTGCAACTCGTTAACCCACCCAAACCACCTCCTATACACATATATATGTATATATATACATAAATATATCGTCGAAAACATTTGCCGCTGGCTTTTGAGTGTCGTCTTCGCTATTTTCAATTTTAATTTGTGCAAATATTGAACTTTACTTAAGTGTGTGTGCGAGTGTGCGTGTGTGTGTGTATAAAAAATAAATATAAAATATACAACAACAACAAATATGCGCCAACAGCAATTTGTGAGAAAATAAATTTGCACCAAGTGTGAAGGATTTTCAAATATTTGCCCATTGTCGCGTCTTCAATCTCAGACCGGCGCATTTCTAACTATTTTCCGTACTATTATCGAGGAATCCAACGTTAACTCAATGTACGCCTCAATGTTGCCCAATTTGTTAAATATGAAAACCGAAAATTTAACAAATTCGGGCTACGACGATGCATTCCTATTGGAGGAGAATATACTACAAATGATGGGTGAGTTCAGCTCGGGAACGGATCTTCTAAGAATTTCTAATACTCTCTTGAGTAACTGAGTCACTTGGGCAATTGTAATCAGCTCCAATCATCTAATCGTATATGGCTTCAATTGTGCAACGTCGAGTCGAGTTTTCGATATAACTTATCATTTGTAACACATACATATATCCAGCTGTATATCTCTGATTTTATATCCACGTATGTGTATATGGGCCAATAGACTTCATGGTTAGCTTGTTTATGCTTATCTACGCATACCCAGAAAGAATATCATTTGTAATTTAAAAGTTTAACTTCTGGAATCATTATTACCTGGTTAATGAACAAAAGCTGCTAAATTTGAAACATATTAATGTTTATTTTATTTAAATTCATACTTTTTTTATAAGTCCCAAATATCATACGCAGCTTAAAGTTTACAAAAGACCATTTCTGATCTTAATTTCTTCTCGGTAATCGCATTTCTGTAGCATACTTTTGGCACAACGTAATTTGTTTTTGTTTTTAACACCTGGTGGGTGCAGCTGAACTTCGCTTATCTCTGCCAAAAAACACATATTTTAATAAGAAAGAACAGTTACTATCGGTGCGCCGTAGATTAAACGCCCTTGCAGACATATAGCACATGTACAATACAATGCCCCACAGCCACATACAATATTCGCAGATTGATCTAGCCCAAGTTTCATTAGGATAGATTGAAGACAAATGGACTATATTAATTCAGCTGTTGATGCAAATCACAAATATACATTCCTGATAAGGTTATTACACACGACATGACAGATTTGTTATACCCTAGGTTAACTTTTAAAAATATATACAAAATTATGCATTACCTCAACAAAAAGCAAAAAGCTGAGAATTTACTTTAAATTCAAATGCAGCAGATGACACGCAAATTAAATGTAACATTTAAAATTAATTAAATAATTAATTAAAATGAATTAAAAGAGCATTCAAGCTTCGTTGCTGAGCAACTAATTATGCTTCTATCATTAATTTCTTGTTTTTGGCTTTTTTTTTGTGATTTGCTTGCGTACATTCGCTTCGTTCTGATAAGATACATTTTAATGGCGCGGTTTTTGACATGAAATCCAAAAATAACTGATGTATTTGCTTTTAACACACGCCAAATCACGCGATCTATAAAAATCCACTTTTGGCTATTATATAAAAAATTACCTCTGGCCCGTGTCCAAATATGCAAAACGCAGTCAAGCCCTCTGCTAAAATTTTAAACCATATCTGGGAATAATAAACATATATACTTTATGATCCATCATACAAGTTTTATCATACTTCTCTTTTTGTTTTGCCTAACCCCCCTGTGATAAGTCAGCTTTATTGCAGCGCTTATCAGAGATTAGGCCTTGCATTTAGATATAAGCTCTTCTTTGGCGATTAGATTTTGTTCACAGCAACCATAAAAAGAGAAAGCCAGCAACAAGAATTATGATTTTACGTTCTTTTAAGCGGAATGGTATGTGGCATCAGATGTTTATTAAGGTCTGAAAGTGAAAAGAGGACTGAAAACATTATAAATATTCATTTGAATATACTTTGATCTAAAAATGCATAATATTCCGAGCTCCATTAAAAATGCATTTGCAAATAAAAACACATTAAACAACAATTAACAGCAAATTGTAATTGAGAATGGATTTCATTATGCCGTGTCACAACGGTATCTACATTTATCTAGACTAAACTTAGTTAACATGAAAACAATATTACGTAAAATGGATTGCTAAAAATATTAAATACCTAAATGCTCTCTACTACAAGTTCAAGAAATTCTTCTTTAAGATAGTTGTACAATTAATTGTAAGTATATTGTTTATTTGATTAATATTAGCTTCTATTGCTGCATAATTATATTTGAAAAGTATTTCTGACATTTTCCGAGTTATTTGGCTCTAGCTAAGTTTTTGGAGAGTATCTTTGAGTTTTTCGACTGTAGAGTCTAGAGTATTTCAGCTTTAATTGATCTTTTATGGCTTTATTATTTTGTTTTCATTGGCATTTCGCACACGAATGCTTTAATTAATTATTAATTGCATCCATAGCAAATGCGAATACGTCAAATTATTGATGAGCTCCCCTCCTCCAGACTGCGGAGTATCGGATACTCGTTTGTAATCACAACGACTCCCGCCCAGCAACTATTTAAACTGCACGTGTTGCTTTTACGTACTCGAAGTTAATTTCTTGTAATTATTCAGCTACCTAATAAAATAATCAATAGGTTGGCTCTTTGCGGTGATACAACCGGAAATACTAGGCATGTCTACACACACAGATACACAGTTACACAGATACACACGCACACTTCAATAAAATGGCGCATTTAAGCAGTTAAAAGTGTGGGGCACTTGAACTTGAGACATACTCAAAAAACTAGCGTAATTACGAGTTGATAACACCAGAATAAAAGTAAAAATCGCAAAGTATTCGTTAAGCCCCACACTTGGGGAGGCTACATAATTAAAACTGATAACGCTTAGAAAAAACAATGCCAAAAGTCTTTGATTCAGGAGCAAAAATAAGTTCTTGCTTAATGGTCAATCATACAAACTGGAAATGCGACATATGATAAGCTTTCTCATAAGTATCTCAAAATGTACACGGTGAGAAAAACAAGTAGAGGTTGTTTAAAAGAGAGATTGACAAATGAATAACTCGCATCTAAGATTGAAAAAACATCAAAATCGCATTCGCCAGTTGTGCTAGCTTTTGATTCTGTCAAAAATTTTGACATTTAGAGTTACTGTCATCTGTTTTACTTAATATTATAAAATGCTAGTCATATTTCAAGAGAAACAACGTCTTAAGAAAAACAAAAATATCTTGCAGAAAAAGTATGCATAAAAGTTAGATTCAGAGCTTGTATCTTATAATTATTTCAATATTTGTGCACATTTGTGTTTCACGTGCAAATTTTCACGCAGTTTGCTTAAGCAGATATAGATTTAGTGATTAAAAAAATATATGTCAAAATTTAAAAAACTAACGTATATCTTCTAAATATATGATATTTTTCGGTCAGTGTACTGAAACAGGTTTTTAATTTACACTCATGAAATCGAAGTAATAAAACTTTTCTAATTAAACATATCATGAAAATATTTGATAGCCAAGAATCAAAACGATAGCAAACGAAATTTGAACTTTGCATTCTAATCTTATTGACTGCAAATCTATTTTTGGGGTAGGTCCAGACAAAAATGCTCACCCCCAGACGATTTTCGGCTTATCATACTGAGAATTCGATTCTGGTTTTTTGGGGCAATCATCGTGACTAGCCAAAACATAATGAAGTCGATCACATAATCGTGGCCTGTTGAATAAAACGTGGCTTCAAAGGTGTTGGCCATAAAAAGATGATGCTGTTTTGAGATACAGTATACAGTATATATGAGGAGGCTGGGCTTAATGGAAAAGCTTATTAGTTTATACGAGCAGCTGATTGCTGAGACAAGTCAAGTTCTAAGTGTCGCCGTCATTGGCAGCGCAGTTCAAGGCAAATACGTAATTTAATTGCACACAGCCTCTGTTTGGAGATACAAATGTATCTGAAACACGTTAGCGCCCAATTAAAAAGACAAGACACTAAGACCATAGCAAACATAGTTAATGGAAATTACACTTGACGAGGTATTTTTTGCTGGTTTTTACTTACGAGGCGCCAGGTCGTTTGATAGCCGGTCACACACACAAAGATACATATACAGCTGCAGCTAAAGATATAGATACAGATACAGATACAGATACACTAGCCTGCTTACATATCGTTATAGAAGTTATTAAAAAAAGCAGCAAATGCTATATGATTGGTCCAGCTTATTGTGCCAGCCGCTTTGACTTTTTGTTAATAACAATTTAATTGAGACGCTTTTAGCATTTTAATTATAGACAATATGCGCGCAATTATTAGTCATAAAAATAATGATAATTTCAATATAAAAAGTTGATTCTTACATTTGAGCGACGTCAACTAATTGGTTCAAGTCCGCTTCAAAAACATTTTAATATTTAAAAAAAGTACAATGCAAGTGTCGCTCAGATATAATATATACATATATGTGCAACAATTGTGGAGCAGGTGCAACTATATTCACGTATTTGCTTTTCGGAACCGCTCGCTAAACGATCCGCTTTTTGAATTACCTGTAACAGTGAGCGCATCCGTTATTCCTGGCATTTCCCTAGTTAGCTCTATTTAAATATTTGTCGGTTAAGCCCTTTCACAATGACATGTTGTGATTTTAAGATATTCACAAATCTGGCATATCTTTGATCGGCCGATCGTCATGGGGTCTCTCGCAATATATACATATATTAACAACAATTTCTAATGTTTAGCATTATTGCAGTTCATCTAAGATAATATACAAATAAATAAGATGACACAAATTATTGTTGACAAAGAGGTGACAATGACGTGACAGAGCCCTTCGCATGGGCTCTAATAAAACATCGGAATATACGCCGGACAGGGTCCGGGCAAATGTACACATACGGATGAGCTCAACTTTATCTTTGCATTTGCAGTGGGGTTTACCGATATGGTTCTGTTTGGACATTACACACTATGATAATGTAAGACAATTCGATTTGGAATGTTTGTTTTCTTTTGTCATCCCACTCATCAGCATCTTTTTATAGATAGACTGATGGGGTCTGTAAGTTCAAGGTTGTTTTACATTTTTACAGCTCAAATAACATCATCAGCTTTGGCAAGGTGTTGCATTAGCACCTAGAAATCGTAGTAAACTAGTCTCCGTTAAAAATAATAATTTTCTAGATTGAGATTGATCATACTCTTATTCTTGTATCTCCAAAACATATTTTGTATCTTATAATTTATAATTTTTGTATTTGGCAAATACTTTCGTATCTCGTTGGTTCTTTCTTATCACACAGATAATTTTGTATTCCAAGGATACTTTTGTGTCTCTAAGATACTTTTGTATCTTTAAAATACTTTTGTGTCT